ATATATATATGTATCACATCTTAATTTTATTTCCCCTTCCTTTCTCTAGTCTCTCCTTTCATTCTCTCTCTCTCTCTCTCTCTCTCTCTCTCTCTCTCTCTCTCTCTCTCTTTCAGCAGGGTCTTGATGCCCTGTGTGGTGGCAAATGCCCATAATCCCAGCATTCGCGAGGCTGAGGCAGCAGTATCATTTCAAGTTAGAGACCAGCCGAAGCTGCAAAGTGAGCTCAAGGCCAGCCTGAACTGCATAGTGAGACACTATTAAAAAAAAAAAAAAAAAAAGGCAGGGTTTTGCTTTGTAGCTCAGGCTGGCCTTGAACTTGTACTGATCCTCCTGCCTCAGCCCTGAGTGCTCATTTCCTCATCTTCAAAGACTAATAAGCCCTGTCTTCTGTCAGCTTTCTCACTATGCAAGGCACACTATGTCCGCAGCTGTGGTTCTGAGCCTCGCCTGAGAGTTAGTCTCTCTTGGGGAGCTTTTGAAAGTTTTCCAGATACCATTCCAGTCATTCTCAGGGTAGTAGGATTTTTTTTTTTTTTGGCGCCTCGAGTGCCTTCAGGGCACTTTTGGCTGGCTGGAGTGTTGTGGGGATCGAACTATAGTAGCCTGCGGCTGACAGCTTTGTGGAAGCAGCCTCTTAAAGGACTGAGCTAGGGCCAGGCCCCCGATCTCAGGGTAGTAGGAAACCCAGGTCTCGATATTTTTAGAAGACCCAGGGTGATCTTCCATGTCAGCAAAGCTGAGAGCTTGTTCTACAGAAACCTTCTGTTCCTTGGGTGACAACCCCTGGCGCATGCCCATGGCCAGCCCAGAACCTCCCTTCCGAGCAGAGCTGCAGTGCTTGGGACACCCCCTTCCCACTCTGTGAGCAATCTTCCACATCAGAAGCTGGGAGTCAGGCGATGTTCTTACCTTAGCACTACTTTTTACCAGTTCTGAACTTTATTTTCATATTTTGAGAAACAATGGCTACACAATACTTACCATTTTATTTATTTTTTTAAATTTATTTATTTATTTATGTGGGGGGGGCAGCTCAGCCCACCAGGGGGCGGGGCTGGCTGGCATGTGGTGCTGGGGATTGAACCGCGGTCCCTGTGCTTTGCTAAGTTTGTTCTAAGTAGGTGCTTTAGACCACTGAGCCATCTCTCCAGCCCCAATACTTACCATTTTATGAGGTACAATGTGACATTCAATAAATGAAAACAACAGGTGATGCTTTAACCAGGTGTCTTGGCATATCCATCATCTCATTTGTCATTTTCTTATGTGGGAACATAATAAAACTCTCTCTGGCCTGCCATGCCGTCCCCGCCCCCGGGCCCCACCGAGATGTGATTATGACTGGGCATAGTGGTGCACGCCTGTAATCTCACTGCTTGGGAGGCTGAAAACAGGAGAATCAGTACAAGTCTGATCTACATAGTGAGACCCTGTAGATCCTGTCTTAAATACATTAAAAAAAATAATAATCCTCGGGGTCGGGGGGATGGCTCACTAGAATAAGCACTTGCCTGGCAAGCACAAGGGCCTGAGTTCAATCCCCGGTTCTGCCAAACAAACAAACAAACAAACAAACAAACAAACTTCTGGAAAAAAAAAAAGGCTGGTGAGATAGCTCAGCAGTCTAAAGTGACTGTTTAGGCAAGCTTAGCCAAGCCTAGGGACCTGGGTTCCATCCCCAGCACCACATACCATGCCAGCCCTGGCCCCAGGGCTGGCTGAGCTGACCAATCAATCAATCAATCAATCAATCCTTTCTACTATCCTGAAACACAATTAATTTTTTTTTTAAATTTTCTTTTAGTGTGTGTGTGTGTGTGTGTGTGTGTGTGTGTGTGGCCAGCTCAGCCCACCAGGGGGCAGGGCCGGCTGGCATGTGGGGCTGGGGGATTGAACTGCGCGGTCCCTGTGCTTTGCTAAGCTTGTTCTAAGTAGGTGCCTTAGACCACTGAGCCATCTCACCAGCTCCCACAATTAATTTTTGACAACCAGCTCGTTTACCATGAGGAACACTAGAAATCAATCCTCCTATCCAGTTGAACCCTGTCCCTATTAGCCACCTTTTCTCCCTCCCTCCTCTCTTAAGCAAATTTCTCCACTGATCCTTATCTGGGGGAATGATAAAATAACTGTGTAGTTTCTCCAAAGATTTTGAAGCAAAAGCTGGGTGTGGTGGCTCAAGCCTGTAATCTCAGCATTCAGGAGGCTGAAGCAGGAGGATTGTTGTGAGTTTGAGGCCAGCCTGGGATACAAAGTGAGATCAGGGCCAGCTTGAACTGCATAGCCTGTCTCAAAAAGACAAAACAGAGGGGTGGGGAGATGGCTCAATGGAATAAGTGCTTCCTGTCAAGCACAAGGGTCTGAGTTCAATCCCCGGTTCAGGGGGGGGGGGGGGGGGAGAACTAAACAACCCTAATGCAGGTCAAATATCAATAGGTGGTCATTTTCATTAGTATATGTTTGTGATAAATAATATATTCATGGAATACTGGTCCTTTTCCTGGGGGCCTAGGGTGGACACAGGGCCTCACTATGTAGCCCAGGTTGGCATCAAACTCATGGTAATCCTCCTGCCTCAGCTTCCCAACTGCTGGGATTACAGATGTGCATCATCACACTCAACATACCAGTCCTTTTTGCTTCCCCCTCCCCTCCTGCCCTCCCATCTTGCCCATCTCTATCCCCCTTTCCCATCTCCACAGATGTTTTTGTGGACACAGGTCTGGCAATTTAGTTCAGGCTGGCCCTGAAGCCACTGTATAAAGTCCAGTCAGCCGTCCTCCTCATGATGGCTTGTATCTAGATGTCCCCTTAAAGCCTCATGCACTCCTTGGTGGGGCTTGGGGGGGCTGGATGATGGGGTGTGATTCCCATCACTAGGTCAGT